CCAGTGCAATCAGAAAAGGTCGGTTTTTGGCACGCAAAAACAGATTTTGGTCTCGTTATCAGTCAGCTGAACACAGACATACTACTGACACATGATAAGTGGAAATGAGAAAAATCCAAAGAAATCTTCCCGTACGACGATGCAGCACATAGTATTCTTGATCGAGAGTCGATGTACAACGAGTCCGAATTAATTTGGGCTTTACGACAAACCTAGACTATGTGGGGTGTGAGAGCGCACGTTAAGGTCTGGCCAACAAGTACGTAGGACAAGCGAGTGTACTGTACATATAGACCTGCACTTTGCTATTAAACTATTGTTGGCGTGCAAATAGAAGAATATAAGCTACTTCATGCGCAAATGATCACCGCGCCCTCGGGTCGGTGGGGATCCTTGCCGCGTTCAGTAGACCGGCTATCGAGGGGCTTTAAGTAAAAGAAATTTTGAGCAGTCATCTTGTTGATATCATTAGTGCTGAATGCTTCAGGGGTTTAAAACCTGGCGGGCGGCCGAAAGTGTGCCTTGACCAACGACGTCGCTATCTACCGCCTAAGTGAGGACCATCGAAAGGCCCTGAAATTTGTTATGTTCGCGTTCGCCAAAATTCAGGCAAATGTACTAAATCCCGTCAATACAAACAGCAAGCTTAGACTCATACATTCACGCGGGAATGAGTAGTGCAAATTTCGCAACAGCTAAAGTCGTGAGTGGGCCCTAACGACGATCATCGGACTCAGTCCCAATCGAAAAGAATCGGATATCAACAGGAGGGGAACTACATTCTTTGCGAGATTAGCAGAATGGATCTAGGACCAGCATCCTTTGTCTGTCCACACTGGCAGGGATAGCCACAATGACATCTGTGCGGCAATCGGGGCATATGACCATACCACGTTGCGGAGATCCATGATTTTCTTGTAGGCTAAGTGAAAACCTTGACGCGGACAGGCAAGGTAGCGCTGAATGTCCGAACCAGAATGAAGAGCAACCATCTAACGGCGTGCAGTGGCAGCGCCCGAAAGTGCCCCTACAATAACGCCATTTCACTTTTATTACTTCCTTGCAGGAGGCGCAGTGTGTTCAGTTAGCAGAAGTAGACTGGATTGTTCCGGGCAGCTTCGCCCCAGAAGCTGTCTGTTTACCCTCCTCCCCTTTGTGTTGCTACATCGGTATATAAATATACATACAGTGATTTGTTTGTTGTGCCTCAGTCACCCTGGCGTTACTGACTTCATCTGAAGATGTTCACTGTCACCTTTGTTGTACTCAGTACACCATCGCCCCGAGCATGCAAAGTCCCGGGTCCTCCTTTAACCACAGACGGAGACAGTTGGGGACCACTGTGCTTCAGTAGAACACGGAACTGAATGCAGCACACAGAGGCACCAGACACCGGTTCCCTGACTCGAATGCCTCTTCCTACGGTCAGATCTACAATAAGTTGGGAAATGAGAAAGCAGCCGAAGGCCTGCGCGGTACTGTAACTGCTTAGATTTACGTGCTCAGATGTTGTTCAGCGTAAAGCGCTAAAACACAGGGTGTCGAATATCAGACAGTTCTAAGGGTTGTCTTTTAAAGATCTACCTAAGTCAGCGCAACTTTCACTCTGCGGTCAGGCGAGAACAAGCGGTCAATCAATAGCCAAACAACGCACATACTAACGGCATGGCGGCAAGGAATTCGCTATTGAAGAAGGGAGTGTGCCAACAAAGAAAGGAATGGAATAACCATTTTTAGATTGCTTGCGGACATTCGTCAACAGTCATGAAGTTCATTTATTGGAATTAAAGTGGGCGTGTCCGAAACCAATGAGATGGACGACTTAAATGTAGGAAGTCGGTCGGTTTTCTGGAAAGTTTTTTCCGGGTCTGAGCCAACTGCGTGCTTAGACCGCAAATATAGAAATCTACAGGCCCGCATCTTCTCGGTGGTGGAGTAATTCGCACTTCCAATTATCTGCTGCTCCTCCGCCACCTAGTTCTGTGACACACGTGCATACGCACACAACAATGGATCTTCCGGATTTGGGGAAACGTCAGACACAACTTCAGTGCTGAGTCGGAAGGAGACGGCGCGATAAGTTCGAGCATTAACTTAGCATTCGTTACAGTACTAGCGAACACAACTTTTCTCCTAACCCTTGAAGGAGGACAAAAACGCCCCAGTATTAGGTGGTCCTAGGTGCTCTGGTCGTTAGGCAATGTGGTCTTACAGCCTGAACTACTGGCTAGTGTAGCGGCCGGCTGTAGCCAATTTATCCAGAAGAGACCTCCATCACTCGGACGATAATGTTGTTTGCCTGACCTTTCTGATTCACTTTAAAGTTCCGTTATCAGAGACGAAGACAAATAGAAGCAGCGGCCTCGCAGAGGACGCAGTATGTAGGGCAAGGGGATATGCACCCTCGTATCACAGGTGGTTTTGGGTTGAATTGCACGAGGATTAGGGTTAAAGTTAGGACACGGGAAAATGTACCCTCCTGGAATTTAAAGCAAGGCTGCCTGACGTACGGGGGGCCCACATTCCCGTCCGCATCAGGTGTAATATCTACAATGGTAGATGGACGCCCACCGATCACGTTGCGGAACCCACTCGTCCCGTTGTGTCTTGGGGTTCTCCCTCAAGCCCCAGCAGCAGGCACACAGCGGCGCGTAATATAGGCAGAATGACATTACCGAAAAAGACCAGGGAGACTAAAATGGCCATTTGCGGACTGAAAGTCACACCCAACTCAGAGGTATGCAGCATCCGAGGCTTGGTGCGTCCCGTCTGCCTATGTTAATATCCCCGATCGCAACCGATAGGACAACGAGCCCCTGGTTCCATGGTTAGGTCGTTGGATTTCTAGCTAACGGGTCGCGTGTCCAAGCCTCGGGGATTGCATGCCTTGGGGTTGGCTATGGTCGGCTGATGAAGGCTTACAAACCAGAAACGGCCGATCCAGTCTTCCTTACCTTAGTCAGTGCAGTATTTGGTAGATATAGTATCTAAGCAGCCACATGGAAAATTCAACGCTGATGTTCGGATTTACATGCTTGTCCGCATTGATTTGGTAACAGGTCGACCGTCGTTGCCGACGATGTCCACCGTGTATTCCAGAGCAAGGCGAAGCAGGCACGGTGACTTGCATGTGAATTAGTTTATAGTGAGGGTAGACTTGCGCGACATCTATCGCACTCTCGCCTCCTCGTCTGTTTGAGGGCAGTGTCAAGTCATAGTCAAGAAGACCTGAGGCGAGAGATTGCGCAGGTGGCTGGCACGGCCGGATCTGCATCTAGGCGTACAACCACACCCCTGGTCCACAAGAAATGCCTGACCAGGATACTAATTAACAACAAAGACGGGCCAAAGAGAGGAGGATGACACAAGTCACTGGGCAGCCATGCACACCACCCTTATACCCGGCGGGAGAGCAAGCGCACATACCAGCCGGGAACCAGGTGCCAGGGGACTGACAGCGCACACCAGGCTGCGAGGGCTATGGTTTGCTGAATCGTGGCATAGCAGACGCACACAATCCTTAAAGCTCAGAAGGGTGGGAGGCAGCCCTGCATTTGGCTTAGACCATCACCTTTCGAAGGCCGGGTTATTAGTCAGTCATCGACTGAGAGGCACTACACATTTACGCACACACCCCTCACATTTGCGAGTGCCAGAGGTCACGTTAAGAAGAAGCCGTTGCAGCCTGACTCTCAGTCCATCAGTCCGACACTCCACACACAACTCGGTTGACTGCATGGACTGAATTGAAGCGTCAATCGGCAGCCTCCCAAGCCACGGCGCTGGGCGCACCGTGATAGTTTCAGACTCGGATCACACATACAGCACACATATAGTGAGAGGTATCAATTGAGAGCTTGCGTTGTGAGGCAATGGGTGATGAGGCTGTGTGGTGCAGGTGCTGGTGGGGAAGGTATGATGGTGTGGTATGGGCGACGGTTATCTACCGCAGGTTTTCATGAATGCGCATGTGACCTAGTAGGTTCATGAGGTGGGCTGGATGTGCGGGAACCGGGCGGATTATGTCGGTGACTGATGGCGACGAGGCAGTGACAGTATTAGTGGTGACGGGGATGGTCGTTGCGAGGTCTGAGGCAGGGACGGAAGTGAGAGGAGAAGTTGACGTTACCGGTCTTTTGGTGCATTGTACTTGAAGGTGTACTACGATGCCGATCCGCCCGTGAAATGTGCGTAGGCAGCGCGGGCACGTTGGGAGCGGCTGGCTGTTGACACTGAGGAGTCTAGGGACTTGTGACTTGTGAGCCTCCCTATTCGCTTTGGCGGCGGCGATCCGGCCTGCTTTGTAGATGGCTGCGCCAGTTTTCACTTCTCTTCCCCAGGCCGGTCTGTTCTGCACGAAGTCCCCCGAAGTCTACGGGTTGATATATAATCGCTTCAGAGAATTCTGAGGCGCTGGGCCGAGCACGTAAGATGCGTCCTCAGCGTCCCTCTACAATCTCCGACGCTGCCACCGACTGGCTCCTCTAAGTGAAAATTAATCTTGACCCGCGACAACCCTCCAGCGTGAAAGCACCAGGCTCCGATGCAATCCCAACTGAAATCTACAAGCACGGCGGCCACCAACTGATGGACCAACAAACGGCGCTGTTCCAGATGTGGCGCTGTGGACAAGTCCCGCAGGATTTCAAGGACACAGCCATCGTTCACCTTTACAGGCGGGAAGGGAACCGGCAACCCTCTGACAATCACAACGGCATCTAGCTACTCAGCATAGTTGGAAAGATCTTCGTCCGCGTTCTCTTCAATCGTCCAACGGCCACTCAGAATATGAGCTTCTGCCAGAAAGTCAATTTGGCTCCCGATAACACTGGGGCACCACTGACATGGTGTTTGCCGCTCGCCAGTTACAGGAGAAGAGCCAGGAGATGCGAACCCACCTGCACATTGCCTTCGTGCACTTGAAGAAAGCCTTCGAGACGGTGAATCTCGAGTGAATGACAATCATCTATAAATTCGGCTGTCCTGAACGATTCACGTTCATGGTACGTCAGCCCCACGACGGGATGATGGCAGGCATCACGGACAACAGCCCAATACCCGAGGGACTCGCAGCAACCAATGGAGTGAAGCAGCGCTGCGTACACGCTCCCACCCCCTTTGGCCTCATGTTCTCTGCCATGCTGATGGGTGACTACCGCGATGAGCGCCTAGGGATACGCATCGCCTACAGAAATAACGGGCACCTTCTCAACAGCAGGCACATGCAGGCCCCCACGCCACGATCAACGACTACTGTCCACGATCTGCTCTTCGCCGATGACTGTGCGCTTAACACCACGACTGAAAAAGACATGCAACGGAGCATGGACCTCCTCGCCGCCGTGCGTTAACTTCGGCCTGACTATCAACACGGACAAAATGGTTGTCATGCACCAACCGTCACCCAGTATACAACGCAGCTTTACTCCCCGAATCAATGTCGAAAGCAACCAGCTGAAATCCGTAGACAACTTTGCTTACCTAGGAAGCCCACTTTTCTGCAGCACGAGAATCGATGACGAAGCGGGCCACCGGATTTCCAAAGCCGGTCATGCCTTTGGCCGACTGCAGAGTTCCATGTGGAATTGTCACGGCCTTCAAATGAACACCAAACTGAAGATATACAAGGTCGTCCCCTCTAAGACACTCTTGTACGAAGCGGAGACCTGGACCGCGTATGCAAACCATACCAGGAAGCTCAAGCACTTCCATATCAGCTGCCTTCGCAGAATGCTTAAACTGAGATGACAGAACAGGATCCCGAACGCCGAAATCCTTGAACGGGCCGGAATGCTCAGCATCAACGCCATGCTGAGACAACTGCAACTGCGATGGAGCGGCCATCTGGTACTTGGTACGGCTGCGATTATGCCTGATGTAGCCGGCCTAGATAATGTCCCGAACTGTACCGTTCCAAGCGTGACGATCCACGGCAGCAGATCTGGACAGTTCAATCCACCCTCTTCGAAAGCAATGGAGACTGAATACCGAAGGTCCAAGAACCACTTCCATGTCTTGGCAAACTGTGTTAGGCCAGGTCTTGAGTTGACCCCCTCTTCGACGCCTCCAATGGAGTAACAGCACCAGATCGAGGACAGTAACACTGAGCTCCTGAAATGGACGACGATGAACATGCCCAAACCACCCAGTCCTCTTTCTTGGGTGGCCTGGGTTATCCTTACGACATTGTTCCAGCGAGTGCTGACTGTCTCATTTGAAACGAAGTCGGTGTACTTCGCTCGAAGGATGGTCCTCAAGCAGTCCTTGCTCGTCCTCCACGCGCACAACCCAGCATTCACAACCATAAGGAAGGACAGACTGGACAGACGCACGGCACACGCAAATCTTAGTGGCGCTGGAGATTCGCTGGTCGGGGATGCAGCTTGAAAACACTTTAGTTTTCCCAGCGTTTATGGATAAACCGATGGATTTAGTGACCTCGTTCACCCGCGACACCAGAGATTGCTGATCACCAAAAGTTGAGGAAAGTAAGGCAATATCATCGGCAAAGTCGGGATCAGTCAGTCGGTGTCCGGGTACAAACTCAACATCGTCACCTTCCTGCAGGGCCCTCCCGAGAATCCAGTCAATAGAGTAGTTAAATAGCATGAGCGACAGAATACAACCCTGTCGATCGTCAGAGCGAATACAAAATGGTTGGGAAAGACAGTCGCGGACCAGGACTCCCGCAGGGTTGGGGCGATAATAGGCCTTGATCATGGCGATGATTTTGGCGGTACACTATCTAGCGCCATTATCCACCACAGGGAATCACGATGGACGGAATCGAACGTGGCCGAAAAGCCAAAAAAGCAGACGGTCGTCGGTTGTTGGCAGCAATGACGGGATTTGAACACGCGCCTTAGTGTGAATGCCCGGTCCGCGCATCCACGTCCAGCAAGAAATCCGGCCTGGTTGGGCCTCGTCCTAGTCACGCTCAGCCTGGAATCGTCTGAGTAAGACAACAGCGAAGATCTTCACAGCAACGTCGACGAGGCTTATGCCGCGGTACTTCCTGCATCTTGCCTTATCTCCCTTATTGAAGATAGGTGCTAGGATGCCTGAGCCCCAGTCACCAGGAGCAACCTCGTCTCTCCACGCTTGTTCAATCACCTCATAGAGCAAGACCGCCAGTTTTGACAGAAGACTTGTAGATTTCAGCGGGTATACCGTCCTCTCCCGGTGCCTTGTTGTTACGTCGCTTTCGTATGGCATCGACGACCTATACTTCAGAAGGGGAGTCGCATGACATTGCCTAGGTTGGAGGAGGAAACTCCGCTGCAGAAGAGAGCGAGGTAGGTTGGGTATCGCAGTTGGGATGGTGCTCGAAGTGCTCACGCCAGCGCTCGACTTTGGCCGAGTTGTCAGCAGCAAAGCCGCCGTTCACGTCGCGAACATAGTCACCCAATGTAGAGGGCTTACTACTAACTTGGCGGAGAAGATGATAGAGTTTTCGAGCGTCACCGGCGTTCGAGGCCTGTTCCATGGAGGTTGCTACTTCCGCCCATTATTGGTTCAGGCGATCCCTGGCCGACTGTGCCGTCATCATTCGGAGTTGGCGGAAGGAATTATCATTCCGGGACCTGGTTCGAGCCGTCTGAGCAGACAACTGCAGGGTTCTTCCGCTGATCTAGTCATTGCGACGTCGCTGGGTATATTCAAGGATTTTCTCAGCTGCACCATCGACTGACGTTTTTAGTGACGACCACTGGTTACTGACTTCCCCGTCTGCTAGGGACGTGAAACATGACCGGATTTCTCTGCTCAGGGTCTCGGCAGTGCCGGTTCGCCGGATTATTGCGACATGGATCTTTTTCTAGGACGTGGCATTTTTGGCGCGGATGAGAGGTGAACTTTTAAGCGTGTGCGAACGAGGACATGGTCCGACCCATGGGCGTTACCAGTCTTGGCATCATGCATAGATCTGCTATCGTGAACCCAGCAGCGGAACCTTGAACTGACTAGAATGTAGTCAATCTGACTGGCTGTGTAACAGTCGTTTGAATACCAGGTCAGTACATGTTTTTTTCGATGCTGGAAGAATGTGTTGATGACAAGCAGTAGCTTCTGATCAGCGACGTTCAGCAATCACTCGCTATTTTCACATTGAGAACCGAGCCCAAAGGGGCCAAGAAGATGACTGTTTTTTGAGTCGCCAGGTCCATTCCGGCCATTCCAATCTCCGGCGACAATCAGCAGATGGCGGCGAGGGAGTTGTTCAACCAAAGCTTGCATCTGCGAGTTAAACGCCTCTTTGTCGCGCTGTTCGGCAGCTGAAGATGGCGTGTACACAAAGACGATGGAGATGTTCGCGAAGTGACCCTTTAGTCGCACGTAGGCCATCCGGTCATTCACTGGTTCCCAAGCAAGTAAAGCGAGGTCCGCTTGTTGCGAGAGGGCGATAGCCACACCGTGTCTTCCAGAAGAGTCGCGTGAGCTGCTGCGGTACAAAGTGAAGTGCGATTCGACTCCAGAAATCTTTATTTTCCGAAAGTTTAAGTCAGGAAGTCGAACTTCGGACAGACAGCAGACATCCACTTTGTACGGATTAAAGCTGCACGCAATCAGACTTTGAGTACCGGGGTCCAGGAACGCTCGCACATTCCAGCACCCAATACCAAGAATCCGTCCCCGATTGAGTAGTCCAGCTCGCATACTATTCGCCCTCACCACTGGGCCAGGGCTGGGGAGCGCATCGGTTCTTGCGGACACCGTTGCATGGGTCATAATACCGTAGTCGGACATATTTCATGAGGTTTCTTGGGAATTTTGGGTACAGGGGAGTCCCAAAAGCCGCTCGGATTGTTCGTTCGAGGCTGTTTCCTCTAGCGCTTTGGCTTAAAATCCTAATCACAAGGCAGCGGTGGCAAGCAACCTTATTTAATGGCGGTTTACGGTCGCCATGTCACAGTGCTGTCATCGGGCTCTTCGGCTTTTTTATAAGGCTTTCAATGTGCCGAACCTCAGCCATCCGCGCCCTGGTAGCACTGTTGCTGCTGGTCTGAGACTGCTTTTGCGTCAGGCCTGGGTCTGCTGATTTCGCAGCTGGCCTTCACTGAAGGCCGTCCCACTATCCGCCACCTGTGGACTCGCTGAATAGCCAACAGCCAGGCTAACGAACAACCCTCTTCCCGGCCATCTGGTGGGAATGGACGATGCTCCCCTACCCAAACAACTCTTCTGCGGAGATATTGCCACGGGTGCCCACGGACCGGGAGGACCAAAAAGACGCTACAAGGACACGTGACTAACTTACAGTCACAGGGTCGTTCGCCACATCGATCTAAACTCCAAGGACTTGCAACGTGAGGCGAGGTGGTCTGAACTATAAGACTGAAGTGAATTCCGGAGTTAAACTGTTTGTGATGTGGGACGCGCTTCGGCAAACGTGACACCGGGAGGTTGAACCGGAGACTGGAGGTGAGTCAGATTTACAATCTGCCTCCCTCAGTAATCAGCGACAACGGAGGTGCGATTATAGCGCAAGTGTTGGACACGCCACTAACGTGTAAAACGCATTTCACCCACATGTGAACCCGGCAAGCTTTCTTAGGGGCTACATAGGTTAAGGACACAACAGATACGAAATATAGCTGTAACCGCACCGGCCATCCACAGAGAGGATCACTGCTGCGATTACTGAAATTAGGAGCAGGAATGCGCTTAGCGAGGGTTGCCTTCTAGGGAAAATCTGTAGACGCCCTTCGATAGTCATAGCCGGCCAGTTCGACGGATCACAGGCAGACAACTTTGAAGACTGTACCAGCAACTTGAATTAAGGCAATAGCTCGGTATTAACCTTTTCGCAGTTCTCTTCCCCGATCGCGACATTGTTGGGTTAAGTCGGCGGTGCACCGATCAGGAATTCTTGCTTCCGTGCACTTGATACGGTTTTACCAGGCTTGATCTGTTCGGCTTCCGTAGTGTCGCGAGAAATATTCGCCCACACGTAGTGATCGGCGGAGCCGGATTTAAAGAGCTTGGTCCACTCCCGTCCTTAGCGCCGTAAACCAAATCACGAAGACGCAAGTGCCACCACCATGTCTTGACGGACAATGTCGAGCCAAGTTTTGAGCTAGCCTAAGTCGGACAAATTAAATCCAGAGCAGACGCGTTGTGTTCTCAGAACGGACAACAAAGAACGTACATCTACCGCTTCAGCCAGATACATCCTTGCGATGCCGCCGCATCTAGTCAGGACCGTTTCATTCGAGATGATGTCGGTGCACCTCACTCGGTGAATCATTCTTAGGTAGGGTTGCTCTAAAACGCTCAGTTTTTGCTCGCGGCCAAGTAGAGAGTCCGGCATTTACGACTTTATAGGATTGACTGGACGAATATCCATTGTGCTCAGATTTAGGTTGAGATGCAGATAACGCGACCTGTAAAGAACCTGCATCAATTTGGGTGACGGTGTCGCCTTTGCTCTGTCTGTTTTGTAGTGACTTCGTCCTGGATTGATGGCTATTAATGAACGGAAGTGTCACCCCATGGTCGAAGATACAGCTCGGCGACAATTTAATTTACGTCGTGCTTAAGAATAAAAGAACTGGTCGAGACATCTCGTTTACTTGAGACACTACATTCTATAAGTTAAGCTACCTAGCTTGACACTAGCAGGGCGAAGTCGTCAAGGCCGTTATCGAGATCAATCAATATCCCGGTAAACATTTGACGCTGCCAAAAACACGCAAAATTCTACTAAAAATACAAAGACAGTCAAACGAGATGGGTGACATGACGTAAGCTTGTCGGGTGCGAAGCCGCATATAGAATAACCGAAAGGCTGTTGTGGACCAGAATGCCATAGAAACGGAGCGACAAGGGGAACTGATAATAGCAATTACTTTTGAAGGCACATCTAGCTCTGCTGTCCACCAAAAAGGTTCGCGGTACACGAAGTCAAACGCTGAAGCGAATTCCACCAAGAGGTTGGCTATTGGTCGCCACAGACCAAAGCAAAGTCCGACAACGTGCAGTACACCGAATATCCGGTGGGCGCACCAAACAGCTAAAAGATAACTCGAAACCTATCATAGGTGGGCTTCGTTGCTAAGTTTTCCACGGTTCGGTACCACCTGTGCGGCAGTGTCGGTGAGGCCTGAGCCACGGGAGTTTTTCAAAGTTATTATACATCCCAGAAAACAGGCACAAGGAAGGCAGATATCAGGCACTAGGGACGAACTCATTTCGCCTTTCTTTAGTCGTCTCTTGGGGCCAGAATACAAAGGTTAGACAGGATCTATAGACTTCAGTGTGGATATCCTACACTCGGGAGGCCCTGCTGCTTTGCAGTTTCGGTAAAGGATCGACAATTTACTCCTACGGAAAACATGAAACAGCACAGGCTATGAATCACTAGAACTCCGATTCTGAGTCAGAGATTGGCTGATTGCTGAAGTTGAGGAGATACCTAGGATGCTAGCGTCAGGACCCAATCTGTGTTTGGCTGTCGGTAATGAATTAGTGATGCGCATAGCGAAGAGTCACTCAAAGCGAGTGATTCAACAGTGACTTGGTAATTTGGGTGAGTTCACAAGCCTTAGTGACGTTCTAGGTCTGCTCCATAAAAGTCACCACTTCGTACCGATAACTTGAGTTATCTACCGTCGGCCTTACCACCAAACTCCGGACCTGGCTGGAGGAATTGTTGTGAGAGCTAGCTTTGGTTGTCTTGGCGTATTTCTAGGGGCTTCTGATTTGAACTAGTAGTTGCGGTACCACGGGGTGGATCTGGGAATTATCTCAGCATCTCCTCAGGTTGAGGACTGGAATGATACCCATCTGCTGCCTGCTGCTTCAATTCGAGTTGCAGATCGAGACCGAATTTTTATCTATGGAGCCACGTTGCGCTGAGTTGCAGTAGTTTTGCTAAATTCAAGCGTTTCGACTCGGATTAGAGGAGGGATTCCATGCGTGTACGAACGAGAACATGGTCTGACCCACGGGCGTTGCCGTTTTTAACATCACACAAGAACCTGCTATTATGCACATAGATAATAATCTTATCGGACCAAAATGTGGTCGATCTGTTTGGCTGCACAACTTTCAGAACACAAGGTCGGCAAACGTTTTCGGCGATGCCCGATGCACGTGGTGATGCCAAAGATTAGGCACTGGTCAGTGAACTTTCAGTATGGACGGATCGATAAAAAACGCAAAACGGTCAGAAAGGCAGTTGCTTAGTAAGTTAACTGGCCCAGTTCGGAATTATTCACCCGCAATAGTGAGTATATCACGATAAGGACCGTCCAGCTACCCATTTCGGCTGTGAATGCGACTGATGTTAGCACGTACGCGGAAAAGTGTCACATCAGTCATAAATAAGCTAGAGGGCTAAAAACTGCTTCGCCTGCAAGCAATGTTTGCTTCCTCTTCTGAAAGGGAGCGATCACCAAGTACAAGCACAAGGGGAGACGCAGGGGCGGCTGTGATGGAGGCAGATAGAATCCACCGCTTGGCCTTAATTAACCTCGATCCGCTTCCGATTACAGTTTGGCTAGCACACTACTTGTCCATACCACTGGATCAGGACAGCACAACGCATCAGTTTCAGCGCACGCCGTAGCATGGATCCCAAGAGGACTCTTGGACATAAGGTTCACCGGGCTTCTCCAGAGTTTTCGGTATAGGTGGCTCCCGAACAGCCACTTGGCTGTTTGCTCCAGGCTTTCCGTAGCATTTTAACTCGACCAAACCTGTCTGTAAGGTGTCGCGGCGAATGGACTCGCTGAATGCTGATTTACGGCCGCCAGTGGATTAGTGGGTAACTTCTGCTGCATTGACCAAACTTTATATAGAATGGATAAAGGCGAACACGACAAAGTTACGAACATACAAAGATTCCGTCAAGGCAAGATGTTGTCGGTACGGCCCTGAGAAAATGCGCCAGAAAATATTTGATTGATGCCGCCTGCGCCTACTTCTCAGGGTTCGTCTCCGGTCGTGTCTCTCGTAAAGATCTGTACAGTCGTTTAAAAACTCAAACAGGTCAGGTATTGTGCCGACCTGAATGTGAAATTGTCCGGGACTATATCTCACAGAACCCTGCTGAAAATGGCGTCAGGATGACTGGACGGAGACACATGAGCAGATCTCGGGCAAACCTATAGTCGTGCAGTCTTTGAGATTTGCGTACCATCCGGATCAACTTCGCTCGGGAAGCTGCCACCGACCAAATGCGATCGGTGGCAATTATTAGTGATGCAGTTAAACTAAAGAAAAGAATTATTGAATCAGTCACGAATGTCAGTACAGGTGCAATTGATTGCTTTCCCCCACCCAATACAAACATACTATTGCCAGGGAAGAGATCCGAAACCACAAATAAGTCGGCACTGACCACCAGAGCACTTAGCTCACCACCAGAAGCAGTCTAAAAATGGCAGAGAAAAGGCAGATTACTAATATCACTGATGTAGAAGTTTGTCAGTGCAAAATTACGGCAATCGCCCGGGCTGTTAGTAGATTATTTATTATCCATGTACTCGGTTGATTCAGCTAAAACCTTAGCATGCCAAAAATGTCTACCACTCATCATTAGATGTTCTAAAGACGGCCCTGGCCGACAAGAAAGTTCAGTAATCAGGTTGATATATGAATGATTTCTGTATAGCCAAACTCCAGGTTGGTGAAACAGAAACCCCAGACAGCACTTACTGTATGTTGTCAGATACTGTGCAACGTAATAGCGAATTTGCACATCTGCTTCTCATAGTTAACTTGCCTGAGTCCTTTGCTTTGCTTGTTGGCATGTGGTCCGTGATAATATGACTGGGCGAGCGGTAGCCCATGGCATATGGACCTTTTTGCCTTCGACTGCACATAGTGTGGACTGTACATCCACACGGAAACGGTGGATATGTACCAAATCAGCAAAATCTGACGAGTACGACACGTCGAGAATAAGCATGAATGGAACAACTCTCGCATCCACAGACAAGTTCGCATACCTGGGCAGTACAATCTCCGGAAACATCAGGATCGAAGACGAAATCGCAAGTGTGATCTCACGAACCAGAGACTGAAGCACTCTGGAATCCCCGTGACCTTCGCTGCACACAAAACTGGAGACCTATCTAGCTGTCATCCTGATAGCGCTCGTGTACGGAGCACGGGCATGGACAGTCTGCGAAAGCCAAGCAATAAAGCTCAACCGCTCTCGTCTGGGCAAAATACCAGAACTTGGTGGCAAAACAGGATCCCAAACACGGAAGTCCTGGGAAGAACCGGAATTCCCAGTATTCAGGCCATGCTGAGACAGGTACGACTGCAATGGCGCGGCCACGTCATGAGGGTTGATGGGAAGCGTTTGCCCGAACGACTAATTTCGGTAATGCTTTAACGAGTCCTCAGAGGCAAGGCAGACAAAAGCATCGTTAAAAGGACATCACAGTGACCTCTCTCAAACCCCCTGTAACCTAAGCATGTGACCTGGGTAGACCTCGCCTGGAATTGACGCAGTCGCAGGAGCCCCAACCTACGAACTCCACTGCATAAGGGCTAAAAGCAAGAGGGAGGTACGCGTATCTTAAGTGCCACGGATAAACACCCCAAAGGCCAGACACGACAGCATTGTCAACTGATGTTCAGAACATACATTGCACTTGTCGGGATTCTTTGGATCCACCGTCACGACAACCCCCTAATTTGCCGCCTTGACACAGGCGTGGTCATTACCGGCATCGTCGCAGAAGTAAATCCATTCATCTGCCTACCCACCGCCCCCACCACCACCAACAACACTAAATAAACTCCAACTTATCCTTACTGCCGCCGTACGTTAAATCACGCATCGGACTAGTCACTCGTTCGCGAATATCGTAACGAGATTGGCGATCCGGTACCCGAAACCCCGAACTACACTCGTTGCTCCCATCTCAGGCTGATCCAGGACATTCGGCCATTACAAGGTCTACTTGGTCACATGCGCCTCATGTAAGCCTTCGCAAAAACAACACCGTTCGGACCCCATTACCAACGTCTTCCTACGATACTTCGACTATCGTGAGCGACGACGTCCACTGAGTGGGAGCAGCACCTGCCACTTGCGTAATATCAACCGCATCCTGTTCTCGAACATTCGCATTGCGCCGATGGAAAAATGTCAAGGCGACCGGAGGTGGGCTCGGTCGCAGTGACTGGCAAACCTAAGCTGCTCGTCCATGTGCCACCTACGACCTGGTCCCACTATATGCAGCAGGTGGAATCTCACATGGATGAAAGTGCCATAAAAACAACAGTAAAGGGCAATTGCAGTTTGACTCCTAGTCTAGAAAGGTGCCGCATTACCTCGTCAGTTGGCAAATTACCAAGTCGCGACTCTGTGCGTTTTGGTAGACTCAAGTGCATCACCTATTACAGTGAGGAATACCCTGACGTGCCGTGAGGATATTTTCTCCAGTGTCGGCTTAACTCTCGCCTCTCTCTACATTCGTCAAATGTTGGTTCAGGGCATTTGGAGCGCAGCCCGCTTTGGGGCCACACACCTCGCCCTACTTGCATGCCCACACACCCAGGCCACACACAAACCTATTCCACAGAATGCGGATAAGCGACACCTCTCCACAACACACCACAGTTAATTCATATAGTGCACGCGAGGTTCAGTTTGTCTGCCTGTACGGCAAGCGGCATGCAAGCACATGCACACCCCACTTAAGTTGGAAGCATTTCATCCGACGTAGTTTTACTCATGAAGTGGGGACCAGGTCGTACAGACAGACTTCTGCTTTGTCGACCACTGCATGAAAGCTTATAACCAGTCAGTTGTCAGGCTCGGACTGCCGACTGACGCACTGGAGAGGGATTAGTGATGGCGATACTAGGGAATCCAATACAATAAATATGCACATGTCTCATTATAATAAAAATGGTGCGCTTGAGCCTATCACGGCGCGCTAAGAGTAGTGGCTTTAAAGGCTGCCAACTGACGAGATAACTCGGCCCATCTCAGGACTGAGAGTAAGCTGCAACGGTTCTTCTTTTAATATGCCCTTCATGAGACTTTCGCCTATCGGGGATCTGAACCACCTTTACTGTGGTCAGATACATCTAGGGTTGGAAGAAAGTCGACTGTGAGACACGTAGGCAGGTTGATTAGCTTTGTCAGTTGCTGTGTCTTCGCCTACCTCCGGTCGTCCCGACGTTGCCTTCCCATCGGAGCACGGCGGAAGAGGAAGAAGAGGATGCGACGAGTTCTTCGCAATTCTGCCTTATTATAAACCAATCCACGTGCAGGTCGATGCCGTGGCCAATCTGTGGCCATAATGCGGACACCGTCGCTTGCGACAGTCGGACTGCTGTCGTTATATGACGCACTGTCGGGCTTTTAGATAATGAAGACGAAGTTTGAAGTAGAAGGATCCGGCCGTAAGTATAAAATGTGAAACGAGGTCAAATATCTGACGGCATCCGAGAACTAAAAACAAAAATAAGTGATGCAAAGCAATCAGTTTCATTTTACGCTATCTGTCCCAAGGAAACAAGTGGAGAGTAATTACAAGATAATTGCTACAACAGCACATCTCAGGTAGACAAAAAAGTCGCTCCTTAGGCTTGGTAAATTATGAGGGTTGGCAGGTTTCATTCGAAGCCATGATTGTGCTGGGCTGTTATTACACCAAGCACACAGGCAGGGTGGGCAAGTCTTAAAACGTACAAGCAAAGTAGAATTCCAGACTTTATGCAGGATTTCTTCCCTTCGATGGATCGTAACGATATGGGGGGGGGGGGGGGGAACAAAGACAAGGGATTGGCTTGCATTCAACGGGATTAGCCTTCAGTTACGCATGAAAGAACGCTCGTGGCACATTCATTTGTAAAATAAGGCATTTAACGGAGGAGTTATCGGGGTGACACAAAAAGGGACGAAAGACGAATGCAAAACGCACTGGCGTAGTCAAGGTTGCTAGCCAATGTTCGTAAGTCAGAATCGAGGTGTTTAGTCATTCTTGGACTTGGATGCGGCAGCCGATGCATCGCCGGCACATGAAGTGTCGTCGTCATCCCGTTCGTACACATGATGAGGTTCAGACGGACCCAGAAGCCTGCCGACCAGGTGATATCGCTCTAAAGACAAAGCATAGTAGTACAAAAACAGGGTTGTATATCGAAAGCTGAAAAAGCTCATGTAAACGCGTAAAACGTCGCGGATTACTCCTGAACTGCTCGTCTTGCAAGCACGTACACTTTACTAGTCAAGAACTATCTGTGCCTTAAGGAAATAGGCGGGTCCTGGTATTTCGCACAGGGAAATATGGACGAAACGGCTATTTAAAACCATGCATTTCAGGTGGGAGACCTGTTTCAGGTAAACCGATCGGGCATGACCTGCGAACCAGGGAATCATCAAAGTCTGCGTGAGAAGCAATTTTGACAAGCTGTTGTGGAGTATTAGGCAATTCTTCCCACATAACATTCTAACATGACAATTTGGAGATTTAAGTAAATTAAAACAGAGGCCTGACAGAGTAATTTCGCTCCAGTTGTTCTTGTCTTAACTAGAAGGATTCGAAGAATATATCTATGCAAAATATCTGCGGTGTATATAACAGAATAAAAAGCGCAAAAACAGTGATCTCACACCTCGAAACTGGAGCTCCCACTCTTTAAGCCTGTTCATTTGGTCAGATGTAAGGTCCGAGAGATCGTCGTAGTTTTCAACGCGAGGGGACATGTTTGCTGAGAACATAGCAAGGGACCGAGACGCGTCACGACCCGCAAACATCGCATAGGGTCCGTCTTTTCCGTAAAAACTTTTTCCGTTATTTGTCACATCAAAAACACTCCCATTGACCGCTATCAATATTCGTCCATCAGGTCCCTCGCCATTAAACTGGCTAAGCTCATTGAGGGTAAAATCTCTCTTCGGCATGTTAGGAACGCTCTCTTGCCTGGGCTTGCGATTTAACCAGTGGATAGTGTAGCAAGCAGTTAGAGCAAGGCCGATAAGCAACACAAGAAGGCCACAAAAGATCCAAATATTAGGAGCCAGAAGATCGTAAGTAAACATTACTGCGAGACAGATCCGCCAAAGCAAATTTTCGAAAAAGGACCATCAAGGATTATTTAAGGTCGCTCAAAGTTCAATATTCTCACTCCGGCCGGAATAAGGCAAAGGGCGAAATATTTATATGCGAATTGTCAGGATCTCGAATATTTCGGTGCCGGCTGATAAAAATCTGCGGTCGGATAAAACCCAGATAGGCGCTAATTTTTAAAGATATATTTAGAATTAATTGACGGGTGAATAGGTGATTACAGCGATGAGCAGTAAGGGGCAAGGTGAACTAGTCCCGTTCGAAATCCCCCAGGGCATGCATGTATATATTATGACGGTTACTCATGGAAACCTGCATGACTTTACTCATCTAAAGTTAAGCTTATCAATGCAATTATTTACATTCAGCATA